AACAGGGACAGTCTTGGAAACGCACAGGGGCAGCTCTGCCCTGTCCTAGAGGGTTGCTATGAGTCATCATCGACTTGACGGCAGAGAGTTTGGTGTTTGGTTTGTTTGTTTGTTTGTTTGTTTGTTTGTTTTTGGTTAATGATCAGAAGGAATTCAGTGGAGGTATAATCTACACGAAGACTCTACAAATGGATTTTGGGCTGTCACTGCCATCCACGGCCTTTTTCAAATGAGGTGCTCAGAATTTAAGTTCGAATACCTAGGGCACTGGGAGGCTAACTGAGCTGAGACACACGAAGCACTTAGAACAGTGCTGGACACAGCTTAGTCACTGTCACTGCCCACTCAGAGCAACCCTATAGGACAGGGCAGAGCTGCCCCTGTGGGTTTGAAGATTGCGACTCTTTGTGGGAGGAGAACGCCTGGTCTTTCTCCCAAGGGGCTGGTTTTGAACTGCTGACCTTACAGATCACCTGGTAGATCACAGCCCAACCTTGGACATCCTCACAATTGTTATATTTGAGCCCATTGCTGCAGCCACTGTGTCCATCCATCTCATTGAGGACCTTCCTCTTTTCCTTCTCCAGGGACTGGTCTCTCCTGGCAACATGTCCAAAGTATGTGAGGCCAAGTCGCGCATCCTGGTCTCTAAGCAGCATTCGGGTTGTCCTTCTTCTAAGAGGTGTTTGTTTGTTTGTTTGTTTATTATCCAGTCCAGCTGCTGATTTAACACCAGAGTGGGTTGGGCCTTGTCCAAGGTCACTCAGAAAGTCACAGGGTGCTGCCTGGGGGTGTGAGACAGGGCCTCTGGGCTGCTCCTATTGCTCTGGCGCCCCCATTAGTGCAGGTCGGTGCTCCTGTGCAAATCCTGCTGTCCCCTTCACTGCCCAGGGTGGACAGAGTTGTGGGGCCCAGGTCAGAGGCACAGGCAGATGAGGGAGCAGGGGACAGGGGGTAAATGTCTGCTGCTTGTCTGCAGTTGTTCTCAGTGAGCTCTGTGCCACCAGGACAGGGTCTCTGCCCCGGATGGTGGGGCTCTCAAGGCCCAGGAAGGAGATGGGAATCCTAGAAGATTTTCCCACCCTCACCCTATAAGACCAGGGAAGGCCCTGGACCGCATACTTCCCAGAGCAGTTGCTCCCGTCTTAGCTTGAGTCAAGCCATCATTGCCATCCTCTACCACTACTCTTGTCAGGGCCGATCTGAGCTGACCTCTGTTCAGAGTCAGGCACATGGGGAAGGGTACTGTGATAGGAGAAGAAGACCTCAAATTCAAATACACTTTAGAGAGAACTCTTTCTTAAGCTTTAAATAGGACAAAGACAAATTGAATCCCCTGAATGAGGGAGACATCAGTATGAGGCCGCAACGGCGTCCAAAGGATTCACAGCCACACAGCATTGATTCAAAGGCCCGGAAAGCAAAATTTCATCACAAAGTCCTGATTGTCGGTAAATCAGTTCTTCACGGTCCAAGGGGGGACTACAGAAGCAGAAAAGGTCCACACACACCATTGCAGATTAGAAACCTTTGTAAGACTGGTTCCGGGCCCTCTAACCACCTTGGTCAGGTCTGACCCTGAAGCAGGTAGCCCTAACATCCCAATTTTCATCATCCAGGGCAGGCCCAGCCAAGTTCCTGAGGATGGGTCTGCTCCTCCCTGGGCTGACCAGGGGCAGCAACGTAAACACCCTACGTGAGGGCAAAGCTGTTTACGTCACCTGTCATGGTCAGAAAGAACTCAGTAAAGGATGAAGCTATGTGGAGACTCAAAGATAGATTTAGGGCTACTGAAAACCATAGCTTTCCACAAACCTAGTGTTTAAGCTCTAATCCAGAACTGACTTGCTAATCTCCATGGCATTATATTCTCACATCCATTATATTACTCACTGTTCACAAGAGCCCTGTGAAGTAAACATTATGTCCATTTGGCAGACGAGAGTACTCACTGAGCTCTGAGAAGGGAGGGACTTGCTCTTGATTGTACAGGTAGCCAGTGGGCCCTGCCAGATCGGTTTCCTTTTCAGTATCCGAGCCCACTTGCAACCCCTGGGGTGGGCAGGCAGGCTCATGAGTGACCCAGGATGTGATTCAAGACAAGAGAGGCAGTGTACGAAGGATGGGGTTGAGAGCAGAGATACCCAGGCCGCCTAGGTTTGAATGCTGCCTCTACTTCTTCCAGCTGTGGAATTTGAGGTTTGTCACTTCATCTTTGCAGCACCTCCACTTTCTCCTTTCTCACAGGGGAATAATTGTACTGCCTGCCTTGAAGGTA